TGTTTGAACTACGGCTTTTGGATTATGGCTTGGCTTTGGAAAATACCCTCCCTGGTTTCAGACTCTCGGCTTTCTCCCTTGAACTACGGCTCTTGGATTACGGCTTTGACTCTACAATCGTGCTCTCTGGATTTAGGATTACTGCCTTCCCCTTTTGACTTAGTTTTTCGTATTGCATAAAAAATCTTTTGCAGGGTTATTTTCCATCTTCAGCATTTGGGTTCACTTCTTAGTTTCGGTGCTTTGGTAAAAGATCATGAGGAACTGGAATTCCCATACCGCATTTCTTTAAGCATCGCAGAAAGCGCAAGTGCTGCTGTACCTTTTTCAGACTGGCTACAGTGTAGTGACACCAAGACAAGTCTGTGGAAACCTGCAGGCCGAGGAACCTGAAGCAGTTTCCACTGTTGTGCAATTGATGCTGATTTGGGCGTGACTCCCTCTGGGTCTCCTGAAGTCCACAATGAGTTAATTTGTCTTGTTGCCATTCATGGCTAGGTTGTTGTCTAGGCACCATCTTGTAAGATGCTCCACCTCACTCCTGTATGTGGACTCATGGTTGTTGTTGATCAGCCCAATAATAGTGGTGTCGTCTGCAATGATGTAGTTGCTGATGTAAGTGGCTGTACAATCATAGGTAAACAAGGAGTACAGCCTAGGACTGAGACAGCAGCCTTGTGGAGCTCCAGTGTTTATGAGGTCTGCCCGTCAAGAAATCTAGTATCCAGTTGTAGATGGAGTTGCATAAGCCCAGACCTCTATGTGACCAGTTTGGCGGGAACAATTGTGTTGAACGCCGAGCTGTAATCAATAAAAAGCATCCTAACATAGGTACCCCATCCGTCTAAATGTTCTAGGGCAGTATGAAGTGGTAGAGATATGGTATCATCAACTGACCTATTCGGGCAGTAAGCAAACTGAAGTGGGTCAAGGGAGTCTGGGATAGAGCAATTTATATTGGACAATATTTGTCTTTCCAGGCACTTCATGATCACCGAAGTGAGTGTCACTGGGCGGTAATCGTTCAAGCAAGTTCTTCTTGGGAAGTGGTGCAATTGTAGGGACAGAGCAAGGTTAAAAATGTCTGTATACACAGGAGATAGCTGGTCTGCACAGGTTTTAAGGACACGAGGGAAGACACCATCTGGGCTGGCTGCTTTATGCGTTTTCACTCTCTTAAAGGCACTACGCACCTCATGTTTACAGAGCTGTAACACAAAGTCCCCTGGTTCACTGGGAGCCTTGATAGGGTTTCTGATTGGGATACTGTATATCCGGATCTTCTTTGTAGGAACACATCTGTCCACACAGTAGTTGACATAGGATGTGACCATCTCTGTATCTCATTTAGATCAGTGGACAAATCTTTGAATAAACACCAATCAGTCATTTCAAAACAGTCTACAAGTTCTTGCTCACCAGCATCTGACCAGCGCTGCACAGTCATTACCGCAGGTGGCACGTTCTTTAGCTTCTCCTTGTAAACAGGAAGAAGGAGCACGGAGGCGTGGTCAGACTTCCCGAAACGTGGCCATGAGATGGAGCAGTTTAGTGGTAAAGCAGTGATCCAGTGTGTTATTGCCTCTAGTGGGAACAGAGACGTGTTGAAATTACTTTGGTAGTGCTTTTTTAAGGCTACAGTGGTTAAAGTCCCCTGTCACAATAGAAACAGCTTCCAGATGCATGTTTTCATATATGCCAATGACGCTGTACAGCTTGCTGAGTGCCGATTCAGCATTAGCATGTGGGTGAATGTACACCTGGTAGGTAAAAAGGGCAACATTTAACGGTAAGGTATTCTAGATTAGATGAGCAAGATCTATAGAGAACTTCTACGTCAGTGCACCAGATTATTAAACATGAAACACACTCCACCTGCTTTCTCCTTGCCGGTAGAATCAGCTGTGCTGTCCATTCTGTAAAGTGTGAATCCAGCATGTTGTACAGTGGCATCGGGAACCTTGGGTTTCAGTGACACAGAAGAAGCAGCAGTCTCTCAAATAGTGTTGATGTGACAGTGAAGTTCATCGATCTTGCTGTCCAGCGATTGCACATTTGCAAGCAGGATGCTGGGGGCAGGGGCCAGTAGGCACGCTAACACGCCACTTCTCTTACCTCACTTCCTTTTGCATTCGTGTCCCTGTTTGCTCTGTGCTTGAGAAACAAAGCCATGTACTTTCAATTCCACTGAAGCTACTGCAGATCCAAGGCTCTAAATCCCAGGTCCAGGAGTGTTTGTCAGTCGTTGCTGATGGTCGCATATGTATTTTTTTGCATATAAAATCAGACATAACATGTAAATAACCAACATAAACGAGAGAGCTACACGCGAGACATTGCCATTGAACAGTGCCATCTTAGTTTACTAGGTTTATCAAATGACTGTTTTACACCCTTTCTTGTTGCCTTTCACTGCTCTGTTGCCCCAGAGGCACATTGAACTGCAGCTTTTAAAATTCTATTGCACTGCCTATTGTTTACAGGGTTCCATTTTATGACTCTAAAATGAAAATGTTCGAAATGCTTTACCTTGTCACTGTTGGAGCATCCCTCTCTGACACCAGCTGAAGGCACAGGCTGCACAGAGACACCCTTCACAGAGACAACAGAGTGGAATCGTCCCCCCCAACACACATCACACACAACCAACACAAGTGTGCCCTACTGTACATGTCATTACATTTAAAGTTCAAATCTTGTTCAAAACATTATACAAAAACAGAACTTATTCCTCCTGGTACCATCCAGAGATGGACAGCCAGACGAAACAGGTCAGTCAGTAACTGCAGACATACCTCTGCCGCCATGTTTCCAAATTCCAGGATGACTCCTCTGACTCACTACAGGTGCCATAGACGTCTTTGTGGCTGACGGAGTCACACAAGATCTGGAAGGGGTATGAAAGACTGTGAGAGTCAGCCTTTGAAGGCCCAATCATGGATAAAAGTGCATCACCAACAGACACCACTGAGTCGCTCGACCACTCTGGCTAGGATGATGATTGTGGGTATCCACCAAATACTTCAGGCTCAGAGTTCCTTTGAGGAAGTTGGCTCCTAGGTTCATTGGTCCATACAAAATTGTGGCACATGTCACTGTCACTTTATAGGCTCACCCTTGCCTGTTCTCTGAGAAGATGAGTCTTATCTGCAACCCACATGTCCATCCTGAAACCAGTATTGATGAGTATGGCACTACCCAATATTCCAGGTTTCTTCCATTCCTCCTACTGATGGCACCAAAGAAGCCTGTGATATCTGGTCCATTGGACACCATTGGAGAGGGCAAGGACCAGATGAAAGTTCCCAGGTCAAAGTCAGAAACATCCATGCTCCCTGAATGATCCGCGCCTTCCATGTACGCTTCCCTGTAAACCCAGTCTGGCATCCGGAGGTAGCCCCTTAAAGGGTCTGCTCTGTATGCCCAGGTGGATCTGAGCTCTCAGTGCCTGATCTCAAAGACCAGTCACATTCTTAACAAGGACCAGATTTTGCTGCCACTTCCAGTCAGTTGCTGCCTGTTAACTTTAATGAGCACAGTATTTAAGCCTCACAGCACCATTACTTGGGGCCTGGTTATTGGGGCTTGGTTATACGCTCTGCTCTGACCTGCAAGTTCTGTGTTTCAGTCACATCTTGCTTTCTGGAGATCCTGAGCAGTCATCCTTGAATGCTAGATTTTGTTGGCCTTCCACATCTCTGATCATGTCAGGGCTAGCACCTTTGCATCTGCCTTGAATGGCTCTTCTGTTCCTCTCATTGAGGGGTTTTACATTCTAGCCCTCCTGGAGGGGTTGTAGCCCTGAATAGCGATCCTAATTTCCTGGAAAACCTCATTCAGCATCCAGAAGTCGGCAATTGAAGGAGGGTACTGTCAGACCTGAGGGAACACAGGCTCTCGCAGTCCAACTGCAATGGCAAATGGATGAGTTTCCACATAGTCTAACAATTCATTAGTTGTCCTGGTCTCTCATGGCTCAACACCTGCCTGTCTGACCATGTATCCAGATTGTGTGTGTTTCACTTTCACCTGCTTGCACTGCTTGCAACCCGCAAAGCCTGCTCCTGGATTTAATCTCCCCTCTTCCGCTGCTGCTTCACCAGGTCATTGCTGTGAATCTGATAATGACTACTTACCTGACGCTCATAAGTATATTGGCTTCTGGAAAATCGGACCCTGGTGTTAGTATGTGTGTCTGTGTTTGCGGCACCTTGTATTGTGCCCGTTGCTTGTTGTTTAAGACTCTGGATTGGAAGGATTGGTTAGAAAATGAATGAATGAATATTACCTCTCTGTGTTCTGTTCTTTTCTTTCTTTTCTGTTCTCCCTTCTTAGCATGTCTCTTTCTCTTCTCTGTTCTGCCTGCTGTCTCTCTATTCAGTGTCTCATCCTTCATTATTCAGTGTCTCTTCCTGCAGTCCCTTTTCTATATTCATTATATCTCACACTCCTCTTCTCTACAGTCAAGTGAAAGTGCTCTATTGCCAAGACACCTTATTATAGTAGAATGAATATGGTCCCAACCAAAACAGTTAATAATTAAATACATCAATTACAGTTTATAATAACAAAAGCAAATGATGGAAAACAAAGTAGAATGAAAGTGCTGACCTTTGCTCTGAGACACAATACTTTTCTCTTATTCATTTCCCTCCAGACATCCCTTAAAATTGCAGTCATTGTGAAGGAAGCAGGCTTCATGTCCTCTCTTACACCCAATCAGCATTTTTAAATCTCCAACTCCTTCCCTCCACTTTCCTTTTCTCTTTCACTATCCTTTTTCCCCACACTATAATACTATGACCTTCCTTCTCTTTTTCATTCCTTTATCTTTCTACCATATCCACTATTTTAAGCTGTATTGTTATCAATATTGCATTACTGATCATTATCTTTGGGCATTATGTGATGAGTAATAATATTTTATATGCTTTTGCTGAGTTTGATTTTGTAGTGAAGAATGTTATGGACAAGTTCTGTTCTTATGTTTTTGTCTACAGGATGGAGAATTTTACATTAACGCAGAAATGTTGTGACAATCTGGCCTCTGCTCTTCAGTCACAACACTCCAATTTGAGAAAATTGTGTCTGCGTGACAACACAATGGGTCATTCAGAAGTGAAACTGCTGTGTGCAGCTCTGAGGAGTCCCCACTGTAAATTAGAAACACTTAGGTAAGTGAACACTGGCAAATTTCTGTGGGGTTACACATTTGAAATGAACAAATATAAACAATAACAATTTTTAAATGTCTTTTTTATCCCCAAGGCACACTTTGTTTTATAGCACCAAACAAAATAATAAAACACGCAAAAAATCTATATTTAAACGTGAGCAAGAGAATCAACTGTTTAGCAAATTAGGTCTTAGGTATAAATAAGTGCTTGAACCTGTTTGTTTTTAAATTGGGAAATTTGTATCTGCATTTTGAGGGGAGTAGTTGGAATTCCTTAAACAAAGGGTATGAAGGGTTATCTGGAACAGACTATGCTTTATGCAAGATTAACTGATTGACATGGGGTAATATTGAATGATCAGCACCAATGACTTTCTGACAATTTGACAATACTCTTTGTTCCTTTGTTCTTACTGCTTAAATTCATATTCCCAATCCAGCAGATCAATGCAAAAGTGAAAGCAGATTCAATAATGCACTAATAAAAATGCTTAAGCTTTCTTAAGATAAAATAGACGTCGCCATTTTTTGAAAATAGGATCAATGTTTGCCTCAAAATTTAAGTTTCTGTCCAGAACAGTCCCTAAATATTTGTATTTATCAACCATCTCCACTGATTGACCCCTGATACAAGTTTGAGTGGGTGTCTGAGGGTTCATCCTAAAATTAATTTTCATGTCTTTGGTTTTAGAGACATTCAACTTCAAATGGTGACAAACTCCTCAAAATGGACCCCCTCATCTGCTTTAAGCAAACTAACAATAACAAAGTAATCTGCAAATTTAATTATGTGTATAGAGTGTTGATAACTGAGTGACTTTTCTTATAGGACAAAGAGTAAAGGAGTAAAGACGATACACATCCTTAGGTGGAACAGTGGAGGAATACAACTTGTTAGACAAATGATTACTGACTCTTACCCTCTGAGTTCCATCTGTAGGGAAATCAGTAAACCAGCTGGATGATTAAGATTAAGATCAAGGCCAAAACTAAGACAATAGTTTGGTTGCCAATAATTGTGGTTTGGTACAATTACATGCTGAAGAGAAATCTACAAATAACAGCCCAAAATGAATCTTATATCCTTCAAGGTGCTGGAGGACAACATTAAGAAGGTGTATTGTAGCATCTTCCACACTCTACCTGCCCTACCCATTTCAAGCTAACTGAAATGGGTCTAACTGCTCATGTATCTTTGCCACAGTATTGCTTTCCACAATCTCTTTAAATACCTGTGAGGGGAGGGCTACTAGTCTATAATCATTGAGTGAACTCGGGAATTCGACTTTTGTCGCTTGGATCACAACTGATTTGTTTAATTACAATAGGGAAATAAAGGAAAAAATGTCACACGGCACTCTGGCCATTTCAATACTCTGCCTGGATTCTTCCTCTCCTTAACATGACTGAACAATTTACAATCCTTACAATCATCAGTGTTAATTGCACAATCTGTGATCCTGCCTCTAAAAACAGAGTTCACTAGTAAAATTATGTATAGTACATCAAACCAAAGATAGAATTGCTTAATTTAATTAGCAAAGTCAGTATCTGATTTTCGACCTTTGTTAATGTAAGACTTTTGTGAATTTACTGGCACAATATTTAGTTGTAACAGTTAATTGTGTGAGTTTAAATGTGCTTCTATAAAAATTTTATTCTTGAGATGATGAATATTGAATTATACTCATCCACAACTGTGCATTAGTAACACCCGCACAGAGGGATGGAGAACAGCTGATTGAGCCCGTCACAGTACTGTTCAATCAGTGCTCTGCTGGCTCGGTGCCACTCCAGTCCAGAGGCAGTTCAAAGTATCGGTGAGAGAGAGAAGGATTATGCTTTAGCCTCATGCTGACAGATGATTCCCTTAAATGGATTGTTCGGTTAACATCAAGCTGAACTGGGAAAAAAGTATATGTACAGGGTGAGCCGAGTTGCACAAAAAGAGTCCAATTGTATTGCTCCAGTGATCAAGCAGAAGCACAGTGGTAGCTAGCTGGCTCAGGGTTATGCTGCAGGCTCACCCTCTAACTTGGTGCTTCGGGAAAACATTTAAGTCCCAAAGTTCAGACAACAAGTGTGGGTCAGTGGAGAGGAGAGTGGCCGAGTTAGAAGTGATGCAGTGCTTTTTAACTGGAAATAATACGGTTGGTGATTTTTCAAGAACCTAACAAGTGGAGTGGTTACCCAATCCTTGCAGGTCCCTGATTGGTTGATCATCTTGTTTGATGATTGACCATGTCCTATGACTTTTAGGATTATTTCCAGATATTCCTCTGCCAAACATCCAGGCACTTGCAGTGGACACCCGTCTTAAAGCGGTATTGATAATGCATCTGGACTGTCCTGGGAAAGATCCTTATCCAAAAGATAAGCTCATCTCCTATGCTTGCTCACAAGCAAAGACCACAAGGTCATCCTGTGGCTGTTGACAGACAGGTGTCTCACCACATTCCAGTGATAGGCAACTGGCTTTTTGATCCAGGTACACAAATATTTTTAGAAATACTTGATATCACTTCATTCTAAGTGAAATAATAGGCCTTATCCTTATACTAATGATACTACCCATTCTTATGCATACCACTATTGAGTTGATACTTTGCCATGTATGAATTACCTGTACATATTTCACCATCAACTTTTTCTTATACCTTAATTTAGCCAACTTAATCTCTCACAATTTTTGAGCCTTGCTACTCAAAGCAACATACCTTCAGTGAACAATTATTTTTTACTTGTTAGAGCAGACATGAGAGATTTTGAAACCCAGGGCTTGTTATTACAGAATGCAGTACAAGATTTCAAAGGCGAATTTTCACAAAAGCTTACTTAACTAGTAACTGTATCTGTCAGTTCATCAAGATCAGAGCTTGATACATGTCCCAGTCCATAAACTGTAGTTACTATACAGTGTTCTTGGTCCAGACTAGAACCACCCTGCATTCATCTTTATCTCTTTGTAGGGCCATTTTTTAGGTGGGAACCAAATACACCACGTTGTGATCAGACGGATTTGTACCCTTCTTGTGATCCGTAGCACAATTCCAATACTCTATTCTGTCTTGTTGGACAGGTAATATAATGATGAAAATGTTTAGGTAACTTTTGTAGAGAGGTTAAAATCTCCCATGATGAAATTGGGAGCCTTGGGGAAGTTGTTTGAAAATGCTGACTAGCTCAGGTGATTCTTTCTGCTGCCCGAATCATGTTGGCTTTAGGATTAATGTAGACTACAGATTTCACATATAAGGAAACCCTTTAGGGAGTTAAAATGGATTCAGGGAAACTGATAAGAGTTTGATGTGAAGCTCACAGGATTTCATCAGTGTTTGTCTATGTACAAATAGTTGCTTCTGCCATGCACCTTACTGATCTCATGAGGGTCAAGGTCCTAGTGCACAGGAGTTCTGTGAACAGCAAAAGGCAGGCATCCCTGTACTTGGAAAGGAATTTGGCATCTACTCATAGATGAGATCATCTATTTTACTCCTGATTGACTGTGCATAACCAGGATAATATAAGGAAGATATATTGAGTCTTTGATGCTCTTCTTTCCTCTTTTTCTGACTGATGTTGCTTTCTTACTCACAGTGTACAGCATTCATCTGCCAAATCTCTGTGCTACAAAACTGTATGCTTAGTTCTCTCTAATCAGTTAGAATCACATGGTATGGTTATTGTTGAGGTAGTAATACACTAACTGTTATGATTCCTGCCTCCCGGCAATGGAAGGGGCAGAAGAAGGCGTAGTCTTAGTTCAATTAGTTAACCTATTAGAGTACGTATTCACCACCACACCACCATCTCATCTTGTATTTAAGCACTAGTCTTTCCCTACCCCCTCGCTCAGTATTGGTTTTCCGTTCGAGCTTCTTTGTTGCGCTAAGCCTTCTACCTCATGTTACTTTGTTGGTTTCGGACTTTGTTTTTTTCCTTCGACTACGTTTTTTTTTATTACGGCTTGGCTTTGGTAACTCTCTCCCTGGTTATAGGTTTACTGGCTTCCCCTTTGGACTTTGTTTTGGTTTTTCAGTATAGATCTCCTTCTGGTAATTTAGTCAGCTCCTGCAAGTGGGACCATTACTTGGTTTCGGTTTCACTGTCTGAATCCTTAACACTAACATTCTTTACATAGTCTATATTGTCAATGAATGGAAGACTTGTCTGTCATATTTTTTTTAATACCTGAAAATGAAAATACAACATTTTTGGGGCAATTAATTCATCTGTATGTTTTTAATAATGTAATTTGAAGGCAATTAGTAACCGTTAATACAACATCCATCATATTTCTAACCACTGAATCCAACACAGGATATCATGGGAGCTGGAGCCTATCCCAGAAAGCAATGGGCACAAGATATTCCCAGGCCTGTATGCCAGTCCATTGCAGGGCATGCAAAAACACAGAAATGCCCACACTTTCCAGAAGCCAATTAGACTACCAACAAGTTATTTTGACTGTGGGAGTAAACTGGAACACCTGGCAAAATCCCACATGAACATGGAGAGAACATGCAAGCTCTATACAGATAACACCTCAGGTCTGGAATTAATTCCAGGACCCCAGTCCTGCCTAAATAATATTAAATAACTTTATAAAATTAATGTCATTTGATTCATGATTCCTGTTAATCATTTAAATAAATGTTTTAAATAAATATTTTTTCATAACAATTCCCTTATTCAAAAAATAAATTCCCTAGTTTTAAATATCATAAATATTAATTAAATAACTTTAATTGTTTGAATTGTTGAAACTAAGACTCCATGACAGGATTATAATTGAGTAGGAATGAGGAAGCAGGGTGTCTTGGAGCACAGAGTTTTGTATAAAATAGGGATTTCTGGAGAGAAGAGGAAGCACTGCAGTGGGGCTAATGAAGTTTTAAGGGAGACTATATACCTTGTTTACCAGGGATTGCCACATCCTCAGCCCTAGTGGAAACAGGTTTGAGGGATGTTTATGACGTTTGCTCTGTCTTTGTCCTTCTGCATCACTTGTCCCAAGAATTTAGCTGATTTTGTCTTCTTGTTTCCCTCTCTTTCTCATTTTTACTATATCCAAATATTGTAAAAGACTTTGTTATCATTTATATATTATAATAATTTCTGTTTGTTGGAAGGATGTCATGGTCTGGCCTAACAGATAGATGTTGTGAAGACCTGGCTTCTGTTCTTCAGTCACAATACTCCAGTCTTAGAGAGCTCGATCTGCCTCACAATGATCTAAATGATTTTGGAGTGAAACTGTTGTCTGCAGCTCTGTGTCATCAAAACTGCAAATTAGAAACACTGAGGTAAGTAAACAGTAGGATATTTCTGTGGAGTTTTAAGTTTGAAAAGGACAGAAGTAGTGCTAATGATCATTTAAATAATTAAATATTTGATATTTGTCTCTACACAAGTTTAATTTTTGTTTCCATGACTTACGTGTTCTGAAGTTGTTACTGCATTTTGAGTCAAAAGATCATCAGTTTGAATGGTGAAGGTGAAAATTAGTCACTGTTTCTACAATAACAGTCTATTTTTTCTCTATACTTACTGCCTCTTTCCCCTCATTATTCTTCTTCACTGCCTGCTGTATTTCCCTTTATCTTTACATACTGTATGCAAAAAACAATTATTTTCTGTGCATGGATATAGATGGTGTGTCCCAAAATGCAAAGGCATAAAAATTGCCTGTCAGCTTCATCCGAGAGATGATCTCTCTCACAACCAATCGTGATTTGTTACTTCATTTACATCAGAAACTCTTACACAAAATAGATAAAACAACACATTAGATTTAATTTTGTATTGAAAAACAAAATAATTCTGCTGCAGTGAATATCTCCTCTTTCCTCTCCTGTTCTCCCCTCTCCTTCTTCTCAACAGTGTTGCTCTGCCTCCCTGTTTACCCTGTCCCTTCCTCTTTTTTCACTCACTCACCCTCCCGATCTCTCCTTTCCTTTCTTCCTCCTATATTAATTGACTATATCATCATTGTCAATGAGCTGTTCAGATTTTCATTTGTGTTCCTGTCTTTTTCCAGTATGAAGGACTGTGGGCTAACAAAGAGATGCAGTATATATCTAAACTCTGCTCTTCTGTCACAACACTTCAATCTGAGACATCTGAATCTGAGTTACAATAACCTGTGGGATTCAGGAGTTAAACTTTTGTCTGCAGCCCTGATGGATCCCAAGTGTAAATTAGAATCACTGAGGTAAATGAACACTGGATGATTCTGTGGTGATTGTTTTAAAAGAATGGATGTACAGTAGACACCAAGAGCTGAGTGGAGACTCACTGTATCTATTTAGGGCTACTCTAAACCTTAGCTATTCTCAGTGGGAACAAGTCATTATGATGTTATTATGTAATTTCAATGGTTAAAGAACATGCCATTTCAATGATCAATTGTATTAGAAATGACAGACCAGAAACTTCCATCAAAGAATCAAACCATATTCTTATTGTCAAGAGGCAGTCTAAGATTATTTGTAACTCTATTACCAAAAAAGTCACTGTTGCGATTAGTGTCTTACAACATGCAACACTTGCAAGAAAAATAATTCTGTTGGATGCTCTCTCATCCCTATGGAATGAGTTGTTAGTGAGAGAACCAAGATAAGCATAAAGTTCTTGTGTCTCCATCGCAGCGCTCTCCTTTTTCATTATTCACTGTCTCTGCCTGCTCTTTCTGTTAGCAATCTGCTAACGGCGTATGCACCAGGTTTAACTGAGTGGCTTTTTTATCAGTTTTCTTTTTTGTTTGTGTATATAATATATTCAGTTTTTGTACATACAATTTTTTTAGTTTAGTTTATATTATTCATATTGTACAAAAGGTTTATTTAGAGGGATTTCTTTTTTTATTGGTTGGTTCAGTATCCACCAATGACCACTGATGGAGAGATTCAAATGGGATTTTGCATTGATTTTGATAAATTAACGAGATGGAATTAAGATCATGTTGATGCTCCTGTTTCTTTAGAAAAATGTGTTGTAGAACCTGGAAAAATAATATATTGCAGAAAAATAGTATTCATTCTAGATGCCAATATATCAGTAGTTGTTTTTTTAGGTAGCGATCTGAATGCCTATTACGGCAAGAAAAGTTATGACTTCAACTATGTCATCTTTCTTGAAAGATGAGTTATTAAACAATTACTCAAAATGTTAATGAAAATGCATGAGGTGTCTGACATCAAAATAATAATCATAATAATCATAATAATCATAATCATGCTGTAGTTTTTTAGGTGACAGTCAATTAAATTACTTAATAATCCCGATAAAGAACTAAATAACTAAATGTTGCTTTTTTGTTTTTGTATGGATGGGTACAATTATGTTGTTTTTGCAACCACGTTGTTTATGTAATATTTTGTGTGTAGCTAAAGACACTTTGCTGCAACCTGTAAAGGATGGAAAAACAGTGAAGAGTCAAAATTTGAGGCTGAAACTGAGGCAGACATAAAAGTCAGAAATTTAGGCTCTGTTGTCAACAGAAGGATGGGTGATTTGATTGTTAAGCTTGGGAGCAAAGACTGAGTAATGACAGGGAACTACAGAACATAAAAATGGAGAAAAAATAATGATGTTACCCCTCACAAGCAAAAAGGCACTATATCTCAGGTAGAAAAACAACACAAGCACTCTTTTCAAGAGTACAAACTGTCACAAACATATTGCAAATGAATATGGTAGGGGCATCCATGTTGTAAGAAGGGGGATTTTGTTCTGATTTTGGTCAAGCTATCAGGGTGTAGGGTGTTCTGTTTTTGGTCTGTTTGTGTGTTACATGCATAAATCTATGGGATGCATAGATTTTTAAATGTATTATAATTTAATGTTGTGTTTTGTGCAATCATATTTTGTTGTTAATTAATATTTGTTTGACTTTAAATTATTTATCATCATGAATACACTGGAAAATGAAAAACAACATGCGCGTCTTATATGTGCAGTTTAGTTTTGTTGTGCAAATATAGAATGAAAGATGTGGATGAACTTTGCATATGTTCAGCTGTGCTCCTGTGCTTTTTTATCTACAGGGTGTCATGGTGTGTACTAACAGACAGATGTTGTATATATCTGGCTTCTGCTCTTCAGTCACAACACTCCTGTCTGAGGGAGCTAGATCTGAGTTTCAATAACTTGGGAGACTCAGGAGTGAAACTGCTGTCTACAGCTCTTAAAAATCACAACTGTAAATTACATACATTGTGGTGAGTAAATGGAGGATAATTTGTTTTAAAAGAATAAATGTCAGCACAAACAGCTGAGTTGTTTAAACCTACAAAGGAGACTCCTAGTGCGTTTCTCTGCCATTGTCAGAGTAAACAGCATCTTAAGCGTTATGTTATATTTAACTTAATATACAGTACTATATACTGTAGTATACTGAATCAATTGATCCTTACTTTTGAATAATGAATTTGAGAATTAGCTCTAATTTTTTTATTATTCCTCAGTATAGACTGCTGTCTCTCTATGTTAGCTTTAAATGTTTCTTCATTATCTCTTTCTACAGTATGTGTATTTATCCTCTCAAAATGTTAGTATTAACTTTCTTACCTCATTATTCACTGTTACTGCCTGCTGTCACTCTGTATTCATTGTATTCTTACATTAACCTTTCTCTTTATTAATTGTCGTATTAAAGAGCTTTATTGCCATAACAAATCAATTATTAAATTAAGATTTCCAAACCATACTAGTTAATCATTGTGTTAATAACTATTTGTGGCACGCCACCTGTAGTGAAGACAGTAGTTGACCTGCCACTAATATTGAACTGAAATTGTTTGTAAATGGGTTTTCATGGTGTGCATTGTTTGATAAATTAGTTAATTAAAGGAGGAATACAATTTTCACATTTTTACATCAGCTTAATTT